AGGTGCTGCTGTGCCCCCCCCCCCCCGCCACCTTCCCTGGCACCTGCATGTTCATGGCCCAGAGATGCCTCTACACCATCTTACTCCTCCTCAGGGTACCAGCCCTCCCCGTCCCACCAAGATGGGTGGGGGGCCGGTGCCACCCAAACCCATCCACTACACGTCCTCCCCTCCTAAGCGGGATTGTCCTCTGCACACTCTGCTTGGTCCCAAAACACAGGAAAGGAACTGCCACAAGCCCACCCCAGGTTTGGGACCACCTCAAAACTAGCCTGAAACCACCCCAGGCTTGACTACCCCATCCCTTGGGGGATGGCAGCCCCCACGGAGAAAACCCCACCATTTTATCACCCCAGCCCTCATTAAAACCCAGTTGTGCAAAGTGCTCTCCAAGAATCTGGGTCATAAACCCTTTAGTAGGGATTAGGACCACCCCAAATCCAGGCTGGGACCTCCTAGATCTGGGCAGGGACCACCCCATGCCTGGCACTGCTGGTCCATGGCACCAGGACCCTGACATCCCTCACAGACCCCACCCCACCATTTCCCACCCAACCCTCACCCCCCCACACATCCCCCCTGTCTCCCCAACACCTGCCACCTCCACGGCTGGTCTCAGCTGCCGAGAGGGAGGGTCTGTGAGGGGTCTGCGGGGGGGTCTGGGAGAGTTCTCGGCGGGGGTGCGCCGGGGGCGGCGGGGGGGGGGGGGGGGGGTGCAAGCGCTGCCATTTCCATCCTCCCTCTGTGTGCTGGGTGACTGGGAATGGCTCCAAATAAAACCAATCTCTATATTTTCTCCTTCTATATATACAAATATATATCATATATATATATCTCTGCTGAAATATATATATATATATAGATCTCTCTCTGGAAAGGATAAAAGGTTAATTTCTCTTTGTATACACGACCAAAGCCACCAACCCATGGGGACAGTGGGTGCCCGCTGGCACCCTGAGAGCCTGGGGGGTCCACAACCTGCACCCCAGGTTATTGCTGGTCAGGTCCCATCCTGCTCCGGCCAACAAGCGGAGGGGGAAGAAGCCTAGGAAATTAAATCCCGCTGCAAAGCGCCGGTGAGCTCGTTGTCACCCGGCCAGTTCCCAGTGCCACCTGCTGCCATGGCACGGAGGAGATGGTGGTGTCGTCCCAGGGCCACGGGTGCTGTGGGGCTGGGGGGGCACAGGCCCCTGGCCAAAAGGCAAAGTCTGGATAAGGCGAAAAGAAAATGAAACCAAGAAGAGCAACTGCCCCCAAATCGGGTGCTTTGCCACCCAAAACTGCTGTGCCGGTGGCCCTTGATGCCGGTGGCCAGTGCTGAGCCACAGGTGCCACAAGGAGCTTGGGGACAGGGACACTGTCATAGGGCTGTGCTCTCCGACTCCTCCTCCTCCTCCTCTGGCCTCGAGAGTCTCTGCGGTGTCTCTGGCAGGTCCCGGCACAGGGTGACGTCTGGGGGGACGAGGAGGGAGGGGACCTCAAACCGCAGCAGCCCTGTGGGAGGACAGAGCGATGGGGCAGTGCTGGGACACACCACGCCAGCACTGGCACCGTGTCAGTGCCACCAGCAGGGGTGTCACCACCGGTCCCTGCTCTGTGCCATCCCACCCCGGCCAGAGCCTGTGACATCAGCCCCAATGTCCCCACTGTCCCTGCTCAGTCTGTCCCCACGATGCTCTGCTCTCCTCCCAGAGTGCCGGTGACAGGTGACACCGTTGTCCCCTCTCCCAAGGGACCTGCAGTGAGGCAGCACATGTGAAGTGACAGAGGGTGACCCCAGCCTGAGGCAGGTGGTGTCACTGCTGTCCCTTGCTGAGAGCAGACGAACTCACCCCCAGGTGGGCACCTGCCTCCTGCCACCCTCTGCTGGCTCAGGGATGGGTGGTGGGCGATGCCCGGGGTCTTGCTGCCGCCCACCCTGACCCCCCTGGACGGGCACCCAGAGCCCAGGACCCCAGCCCTGCCTGGTCCCACCTTCCCCCAGCCTCCATGTCCCCCGGTGTCCCCGACGTCACCTGCTATGTCTAAATCATCACTATGGCCCCTCAAACAGCACAGCCCCCCCTGCTGCAGGGACACCAAGGGGGGGGCACCAACAAAACCCGGGGCCAGGGAGGTCAGGACAGCAGAAACAGCGGCACAGGCTTGTGGTGCTTCCTGGGGACAATGCCACATTCCTGGAGACACTGTCACCTTCCTGCGGACAGCTCTGCCTTGCCAGGAACATCGCCACCTTCCTGGGAACATCAACAACTTTCCAGGGATATCACTATGTTCTCTGGGGACATCAGCACCTTCCCAAGGATGCTGCCACCTTTCCAGTGACAAATCCACCCTTCCAAGGACACTGTCACCTTCCTGGGGACATCACCACCTTCCTGCTGCTGCTGCCGCTTTCGTCGGGACAGCTCCACGTTTCCAGGGACACTGTCACCTTTTGGGGTGCACTGCCACTTCCCAGGGC